ATGTTAGTCCACTGAGCTATTTGGGCAGCCCTCCTTACAAATCTCGATCTCCATCTCTCTCTCTCTCTCTCTCTCTCTCTCTCTCTCTCTCTCTCCCTCTCTCTCTCTCTCTTCCCTCTCTTTCTCTATCTCTCTCTCTCTCCCCCTCCCTCCCTCCTTTCCTCCTCTCTTTTTTGGTGGTATCAGGGATCAAACTCAGAATCCTGCCAGGCAAGCACTTTTTCTACTGAGCTATCTCCCCAGCCCATTTTTTTCTCATTAATAGCTATGCCAATGCTACACATTCCCAGAAGAATCTACAATCCATAGACAGCTAAGAGATGAATTTTACCCTGGGATTCTCTGCAGATCAGAAGACTGTTTAGTGGATCTGAGGGTTGTGTTTCAGTCTAGTCCCACCCTAAGATGTTTATTGGGTGAAAAATGCTCAAAAGAACTAGAATTAGCTTACTGTCTTTGTACCAACCCCAAGTTCAGCAGTTTGACTATTAAGAGTCACACACTGCCACCAGGAACAGCCAACTCAGCTTCAAGGAAACCACTGCCAGTTACTCATTTTCTTCAATTTGTGAAATTTGTATAGAAATTTACAATTCACCACACATTTGCTCATTAAATATAAAGGGTTAGTAAAAAGTAATAGAAAATTTACAATATTTTTCATATTTTATTTGATTTTGGTATATTTTTGTATCCTACTGAGAATTATCAAATTTCTGGCATCTAAACCTGTTTAAAGGCTAAATGCACTACAGATCAGGAATGCTGCCACTGCTGAGAGCCTATGGCAACCTGCAGAGTCTGATGCTGGACGGAAACCCAGGCGGTAACCATCTCACAAGTGGGAAGACACCTAACATTATGACCTTCCACCTCTGAACATCAACAGAACCTTCTGGGTTCAAATGTTCTTCAAGAGTTTTCACTAAATCCACATTTCTCTCAAGAGATTAGAAAAAGCACAGTTCCAGGCCCAGAATAAGAGATGATACAGAAACAGACTTTTACTCCTTTCCAAGCTAGATTTTGTAGGCAAGTCACCTAACACGTTTGAACTTTACTTTCTTCATCTGCAGTATGGATTTTTTTTTTCTTTTTTTGGCTGGCTCAAGATGCTTTTAGGGCAGGTCTTGCTTGAGGATCTGCGGATCGAACCACTGCATCCTGATTGCTTTAAGCAGTCCCTTAAACAACTGCGCTAATACACAGGCCCCCTGCAGTATGGATGTTAAAAGTATCTAGTCTACTGCTCTCTGAAAATGTTCTTAATGATCAAATGAGTTGTGAGAGTATCATGCCGATATTCATAAACTAGATAGACAGTAATAATTACAATAGATTCAGAAAGAGAAAAAATTATACTGAACATGTACTTCCTTACTACTGACTTACAATCTCACCAATACTTACATATTTATACTAGACTAAAATTCATAAACTAAGCACTCAGCAGAAAATATACCACTACTATCTTACCCATACAAATACAATCATAAAGGAACACACATGAAAACTACTACTATAGTTCTATTTTCCCTGCCTTATAATTCCTACTGTTGAAAAATCCAGAATACGCTGGGACTGGTAGAGGAGGTGGGGAAGGAATTCAGCCTCACATGAAATGCTGCCCATCACGATGTCTTGATAAGCTCCGATGTGCAGTTTTGCTTTGTGCTGTGCAAACAGTCACTGATCTCACCTTTGGTCTCCAGCGTCACTGGGTCAGAACATTCTCCAGCCACAGCTTTGTTACAAGCTCGCACTCGGAAATTCATATACTTGGAATCAAATTTTAAACCTGCAAAACAAAACAGCATTCAGTCACAGAAAGGCTTTTAAAGGAAGATGAAAGTGTAAGTATGAATCGCCAAGTGGACAGCTTTTTCCTCCTGGATTCACCTGCTTATTTATGAAAGATACGAATTTATGATAAAAGGATACTTAAGAGCAATCATGACTTACCTATTATTTCTTTAAAATAAATAATTTCTATAATTTATCAATTCTCATACTAAAAGGTATCCTTTTCGGGGTCTCATTGAAAGTAATGTTCCATTCAAAGATAGAAAGTCTCAATTTACAATAACATAACCAATTTCTAGAAAAAAGACATTCTAAAGAACATTAGCTTTTCTATAAAAAATGCAGCAGGAAATGAATCACAGAAATTAATAAAAAAACTGAAGTTAGGTTTATATTGAAATCTTGATCTAAAAATAGTTACATCTTCAACCTCTTGATTGACCCTTAGTTTTCTATCTGCAATATAGAAATGATAAAACCAACTACATAATGGCAAAGGTTAAATGGGATCGAGTGCTCTGGTTAGATGAAGTATACTATATGCAATGCATGTAAGCCCAGCCTCTGGCAAACAGTAGTACTCAATAAAGGTGCTGCTAATTGGTACTGCTACGCAGAACAAGCACTGAAGATTTTAAGCAATACTTGGCCATCTGAACTATATGAAGTCCTCATTGTACTGAAATTCTTAAAAGGCTTTCAAAAGGCCAACACAAAAATTGCTAACCAAATCAGCTCACATATTAACACGAAGGTAATCCTAAAACAGCATTTATGGTACCAGTGAAACATGATAAAATATTGACTATAGCTAAAATTTAATTTTTTCTACATCTAAAAATAAAGGTAAAAATTAAATCTTATTCTGAAATACCATTTCCAGAACATTTCTTCATATTTTTTTACATCATTGTTAAACCTGGTCACAAATGTTCCTAAATGATTAAAACAACAGGTTTTTAAATATTTTAAGAATCACTACCATAATATCTAAAATAGTTTAGCTACAAACTTAAAGTGACAAAAATTTTCCATAATTACATTTCCATCCCATAAATGAAACTCCTTACTATGCTCCACTTACCTGATAAAGTATATTCAGTAGCCTTAATGTTATCAATTATCTCCCAACATCGCTCATCCTTTACACGTGGAAGTCCATCAAAATTAGTCTTCCTATATTCAAGTATGTAGTGGTCAATCTTATTATCTTCTTCGGGCATCCTCCAAGCTACTGTTACAGAGTTATCAGCCACCAAACAGTCTACTAGATCTATCTCAGGAGCTTTCGGAACTGGAGAAGAAAAACAGAAGAGGAGGGACTCAATTCTCGTTCACTGTAACACTAAGCAAATATTTGTTTGCCATTCCAACTTTTCTTTCGTTCGTTCGTTCATTCATTCATTCAATCATTCATTCATGAGGGTCTCACTCAGACTTGTAGTGATTTTCCTGTCTCAGCCTTCCCAGGGCTGTGATTACAGACATGCGCCACCATGCCCAGTTTCACTCAGTGTCCAGGCCCACACGGCAAGCGGTACTGGGAATCAGACCCAGATCCTTGCACTTGCCAGGCAGGCGCTTAGACCACTGAGCTATCTCTCCAGCTCCAACTTTGCTTGTTCATCCTGCTTCTTGAACTATTCAAAAATGAATCTTTTTAAAAGAAAGAGTACCCTATAACGGCAAAATAACTATGTTAAAAGTACCTCTAACTACAAGATTATGAGAAATCTGTTTCTAAGCTTTTTCATAAATGTATTTGTTTATTAAAATCATATCAAAAAGTAAATCCTAAACATGCTAGGGATAAATAATCAAAAATGATTTGTTACTTCTGAACATGTGATAGTTTTAATCTGTTAAATGAAACAGTGGTGGAATATAAATTAAACAGTAATGATTCATACAATACATTGCTCTGAATGTAATAATTAAAATAATTCAGTATTAATTTTTATTTAGGGGCAGGGGAGATAGCTCAGCGGTTTAAGCACCTGCCTGCCAGGCACAAGGTCCTGAGTTTGATCCCCAGTATAAAAAAAAAATTCTAAAGCTTCTTATGGGGAAGAAGGAATAGATTCAATAACATACTATTGTATATGTACTGTATAAAATATTATATATGTATATATATAAAAATATTGTTAGAAGGAATAATTTCTGATGTTCAATGGCATAAGACAATAACTATAGTTAACAATGTAAAATAAGTGAAAATATGTGCCATACATATTATCAAATTATAGCAATATGAAACTAGAAATCAATGGCAAAAAACCCCACAGAACTTATACAAATGCAAGGAAACTAAACAATGTACTCTTAAATAATCAATATGTTAGAAGAAATCAAGGGAAAAATAAGATAGTTTCTACAACTAAACTATGCCAGTATTTACAACATACCAGAACTTGTGGACACAAGAACACAGTTCAAAGAGGGAAGTTTATAGCTGTGAATGCCCATTTTACAAAATCAAAGAAAGTACAAATAAATAACTTAGTGTACCTAAAGGTCTGAGAAAATCAGAAACCATCCAAACCCAAAGGTAGTATAAGAAAGACAGTTATAAAGATCAAAGCAGAAATTAATGAAATTGAGACCATAAAAACTATACAAGAATCAATGAACTAATGAGTTGATTCTTCAAAAGAATAAGCAAAACAGAAAAACCCTTAGTCAGGAGCCAGGGAGATAGCGCAGTAGAATAAGCACCTGCCTGGCAGGCACAAGGTCCTGAATTCTATCCCCAGCACCACAAAAGAAAGAAAGAAAGAAAGAAAGAAAGAAAGAAAGAAAGAAAGAAAGAAAGAAAGAAAGAAAGAAAGACCCTTAGTCAATCTCACCACAAAAAAGAGAGAAAAGAACCAAGCCAATGCAATTAGAAATGAAAATGGTGAAATCATAGTGGATGCTGTCAAAAATCAAGAAAACTTTTAATAACTACTCTGCAAACCTACATGCCAATAAATTGGAGAATTCAAAAAATGGATAGATCCCCAAATAAATATGAATTACCAAATTGAAATAAGATTTTAAAGCCCTGAAAGATCCAGTAAAGGCAGTGAAATTAAAGCAATGATGATATTAAAGCAAACCTATCAAATAAGAAGAGCCCAGAACCTGATGGAGTTACTGCTGAATTTTACAAAAAAAAACTCACGAATATCTAAACTCCAGTACTGATCAATCTCATTACCGAAATTCCAAACAAAAGAGTAATGCTAGTGCTATTGCTGGAAGCTAGCATTACCCTGATTTCAAAACCAGATAAGGATCTAACCAAAAAAGAGCACTATAAGCCATCTATGTTAAAATGAACATAGATGCCAAAACTCTCAACAAGATGCTGGCAGACAATGTAGTAAATCAAAAAGATCATATGTCATGGCCAAGTAGGCTTCATCTTATGGATGCAAGGGTGGCTCAATAAATGCAAATCAATAAATGTAATATATTACATAAATAGAAGCAAGGACAAAACCATAAGGTTATCCCAATATATACAAAGAAGGCCTTTGACAAAATCCAGCATCCACTCATAATAACCCATTATAAACAATGAAGAAAACAGGTATAGAGAGAGCTTATCAATTTGATAAAAGCCACTTATGACAAACCTACTGCCAGTATCATATTAAATGGGGGAAAACGGAAAGTGTTCCTTCTAAAATCTGGAACAAGGCAAGGATTTCAACTATCACTATTTCTTTTCAATATAGCTGTTGAAGCATTAGCCAGAACAATCCGTCAAGAAAAAAAAAAAAAAAAAGGATACACATAACAAAGAGGTCAAATTATTATTATTTATAGTTGACATGATCCTTTTAGGATTCTACTAAAATTTTACCAAAATGTCTACCAAAAAAAGCCTAGAATAACCAAATTCAGCAATGCAGCAAGATACAAAATTAACACACAAGAATCCATGGCATTCCTGTACACTGATGAGGAACTCACTGAAACATAAATTAGTAAAACACCACCATTGACAACAGTATCAAGGAATGTTAATACTTAAGCAATTAACCTAAAGACATGAAAGACTTTTATAATAAAAACTATACTACTCTGGAAAAGGGACTCAAAGGGGACATCAGACAATGGAAAGATATCCTGTTCTTGGATAGGAAGAACCAATATGGTCAAAATAACCATACTTTTAAAAATTGATATACAGATTACGTGCAATCCAAATCAAAATACTAATAGCATGCTTCAGAGACACAGTGTAATCTTAAAGTTAATTTGAAACTCAAAGAGACCCAGAATAGCAAAAGCAATCCTGGGTAATGAGCCAAGTGAGAGGCATCACAATCGCAGACTTCAAATTACATTATAAAGCAACAATGATACAAACAGCATGATACCAGCACAAAAATAGACAAGAAAACAATGGGTCAGATAGGAAGGAAGATGAAACAATCCCAGACACATACAGCTTTCCGGTCATTGAGAAAGGAACAAAAACACATGCTGCAGAATGGACAGTCTCTTTATTACATGGTTTTGGGAACAATGGCTAGCCATATGCAGAAGATTGAAGCAAGATCCATACTTCTCACCTTAATCTGGAAAAATCTCTCCTTACTGCTGAGTGGTAAACCAAATTATTTAACAGTACATATCAATGTTTCTATTTTAAAAGCAGTACATTATATATTAGGTTTAATCAAAAGAAAATACCATCTTAGATGGTCAGATTTGCCAAATATTTTTTTAATGTTTTTTTTTAAATTTTATTTATTTATGTGTGTGTGTGTGTGTGTGTGTGTGTGTGTGTGGCCAGCTCAGCCCACCAGGGGGCGGGGCTGGCTGGCATGTGGTGCTGGGGAATTGAACCGCGGTCCCTGTGCTTTACCAAGCTTGTTCTAAGTAGGTGCTTTAGACCACTGAGCCATCTCACCAGCCCGAGATTTGCCAAATATTAACTGCTACATAATTCTGATATGTATGACAATTCTTGTATGAACACAGACTATAGAAGAATAAACAGGTGCTGGGAATAGTGATAGCTCCCAGGGAAGTAAACTAAGTTTGTCACAAGAAAGAGAGCTACTTTTTCTTTTATAGTCTTTTGCACTATTTTTTCTTCCTATGTGCATACATTTTTTATATTAAAAATAACTAATAGCCATAATGATGTAGCTTTAATATGTGTATGGCTAAGCAGCAAAGGACAGCTATTCTCTATGCTGATGCAATTTTTCTTTCTCCTACACTGAGATGGAAATTATAAGAAGTAGAGAGATAGAGGATAGATCTTTGGTAAATCAGATGGGAATCTTGAGATGGTGGGCCAGAGAGGGAATTTAGGGGAAGGGGAATAAAAGAATTAAGATACACTATGTACCTCTATCTACTCGCTACACTGTACTCAGTATGTACTACAAACATGTACTAATAAAAAGTGGTTTATATCTGATAATTGTATGAACAGGGTGAAATTTTAAAGTTTTAGAGTCGTATTGGTGCTAAATGAAGACATATGACTGGAAATATTTTGCTTTCCTTTCTATAGAAAGGTCTTTCTTAAGAAACATCACATTTTGAGACATGATTCTTAACCTGAAATTTAAATCTCTATCTCCCCAAGTGAACATTTGTGTATTCCACTTATATAAAACCCCAGTTACCTGGTATACAGAATTTTGATACACAAACTCTCAAAATTAAAATAAAATCCAGGCTCTTGCCCTTGACATTCTAAGTACCAAACTATTTTGTATTACCAGGTATTCTAAATACAATGTTGAAAAATGTTTATTTCCCCTTTTAATGTCAGCTTTATACTTAACTAGAGCCCTGTGAATAAAAATATAGCACTGGTGCTCCTCAACTTACAATAGGGCCCATCATATTAAACCCATCATAGGTTGACAACACTATGTCAAAAATGTGTTCCTATGCCCACCCCATGGACAGCACAGTCCAGAAATGGTTCCTCATAGTCCTGCTCACTTGACTGAGCCGGAGCAGTGGGCTTGCTGCCAGCACAACGAGAGCATATGGCTTGCCTGGCAAGTGCAAGGGCCTGAGTTCAATCCTTGGTTCCGCCAAAAAAGAAAAAAAAAAGCACATGTTAATGTGTTATCACCAGCTCGAGAAAAGACAAAAATTCAAAATATGGTTTCTCCTCAATGTGTATCGTTTTTATATCATTGCAATGTAAAAATATCTTAAGTCAAACTACCATAAGTCAGAGACCATCTGGAACTCTGCATAGCGTCTTCCTCTACAGCTACAGTTCTTTTATCTTTTCCTTCTATAAACACTAAGAATTTCTAATCCATATCACAGGTTAATACTTCACTTGTGTTATCTTTATTATGTTCTGTTAAGAGTGCTATTATTATTATTTTTGTATTTTTAGGGAAGGGTCTACAGGGTGTTCAGGGTCTCACTACTAGATCAGATTCCTAGTGATCCTCCTGTTTACAGCCTCCCAAGAGCTGGGATTAAGGCACGCACCACCATGCCCAGTCTCAATTGCCATCTCAGCACGCCCCAGGGGCAGGGCCAGCAAAGCAGGCCCGGGGACTAAACTCCAGGCCCCTGCACCTGCTTGCATGTGCTTTAATCTGCTGCACTATTTGGCTGGCCCATGTTAGAGTATTATTAATCTAGTATTTCAATCACATTGTATGGTCTCAGAGAAGGAATTGTTTATGATAAATATTCCCTAGTGAAAAGTAAGCTCAGAAAAAAAAAATTAAGTGAAATTACTTTCAAGAGATCCCTCAATCTATTGAAGTATCATGTCCAAAAGGTTTTAGCTGTCAAATTAATAACACTAGTTGATGCTCAAAAAAAGGAAAACACCAACCCAAAAAGTCCTTAGTTGGCTTTTTCACACCTGTGGGCAGTGCTTTGGTTCTTAACTTCAAATGGCTTAGACTACCACTCAATAAGCCAAGATTAACATATTATTACTGGAAATAAAGTTCCACCTGAAGTTAAAACAACCACAATAATAACAGTAATGATAACAGCTAACAGTCACTGCATGTTAAGTATGTGCCAGAAACTATTACAAATGGCTTAAAAGTATCAGTTATCCTCAAAGAATAACACCACATTCGTAAAATGTAGAAAAATAAGTATGATGTTCAAGATTACACAGCAAGCAGTAAATATGAAATCTGAGAAATTTGCTCTCAATACCTACCATTAACCATAGCTCCTCTCTGTCGAAGAAGCAATAAATTAAAAACCTTAATGTGAATCTTAAAATGGAATTTTTGACCAGCAAAATAATTCTCTAAAAATAAAAACTAGCAAATTTAACAAATCTTTAGTTGAATGAAAGAAAAACAAATACACCATACCTTCCTAAATATTTACATACTGAAGTTCATTACAGAAAACCTTACAAGAAGAATGGTTTTATTCAAAACTGTACATATAATACATGCTTTACCTGGCAAAAACTTTAAAGTTTGCAGCATCTGTCTTTCTTGAGAGAAATCCACCATTAAATGAGTCATGTTGTCACTGACCTTTGGTCTCAAAGAAAGGCGAAAGGCTGATGCCATTGTGACTCTACGGAAAGCACAAACATACTGTTTATAATACAAAATGGAAAATATATTTAGTTTACAAAGTGGAAAGAAAAATTATTTCATGCTAATAATGTCAGAGACTATAACAAAAATTATCAAAAATTTTCCTTTGTCTTTTGAAAATTAAATAAACTTAAATGCCATTTAAAGACATTTAAGGTTTGTCAATAAAACTTTGAAAAAAAAATAAAATAAAATAAAAAAAAATAAAGACATTTAAGGTAATTTTTAGCAACTACAGCTAGTTTTATAAAATTGAATAAATCTGCAAATGCCACAAGAAACAAATGTTCAGTATTAATAATCATCCCCAAATCCACATTCATGTGAACCTCTGTACACTCATCTCACTGACTTCCTGATGCCAGCCTCCTTCCTCTCCACAACCAAATAAGGAATATGCACAGCCTAATGCAAGCATTCTCCACTGCGGGCGCAGCTACCCCACATAGCCCGAACCAGAACAGAGGCAGAAGGACCTGGTACCAGCGAGAGGCCACTGATAAAAAGGGAGAGACGTGAAATCATGAGCAACAGGAAACATGTTAGCAGATGTCACTCTTGTCTATTAACATGAATTACACTGACAGGTACTATGAGAAATAGCCCTGTGAAGTGATATGCCATGGAAATTCAAACATTTTTACCAGATGGATGCAAAGTGAAAAAACAAAAACAAACCAGATCTTACTTTACCAAAAAATGTGTGGAGACTGTTTTCAATGAAAATCAGAGACCAAAAGAAATATTCTATCAATTTATAATTTTATCTAAAATTTCAATTTTTCATAGTACAGTAAATTTCCATAGTAACATAAAGAATGTTCCTTATTATCTTTGGTAAAAGAATGATACAGAAATGCTATTCATGAATGATGTCTTCCTAGTACCCAATTTCAGAGAGAAAGCAAATAGGTACTGGAGGGACAAAAAGAGTATCAGTCCTAGTGAAGTGGATCTGCCAACCTGAGATTAATGGGATGAAAATATCTAACTTGCTATATACAAAAATGATTTTACTTTGTTTTGAAACTAAGTAAGCAAGCTCTGGGGAGGCTGAAAACAGTAGGATCACTGAGTCCGGGCTGCATAATGAGACCCTGTTAACAACCAAATATATTAAAAAAACAAGTAAATAAATAAATAAAACTAAGAAAGTAATTATTTTGGGCTGGCAAGATAGTTCAATGGACTAAGTGCCTACTTAGGCAAGCACAGGGACCAGGGTTTGATCTCTGGCACCACATTCCATGTTGGCCCATCTATAGGTGCCCCGAGTGTGCCACTGAGACCAGGAGATGACACACTCCTGTAATCCCAGTGTTGGGGAGGCTGAAAGCAGAGGGATCACTACTATCAGTCACTACACTATAGTCCAAGCTGTATAGTGAGACCCTATACCAAATACATTTTTAAAAAGTAATCATTTTATTTAATGATAACAATGAGTAAACAGTGTTTTATCAAACAGAAAGTGCTTATGTAGAAATACAATTTACAGGAAAGGGAACCTAACACTGACTTCTTGGTATGTGACAAAATAAAGCTTTACTGTACACATTACATGAAGCTGTTTATTTCAAATAATAAAATCTTAATTTACACCAAGTAGAAGTTATGAACAAGGGGCAGTAAGTCTTATGCATGTAGATTTTTACAGCCTCGAGTATCTTTTAGTTTGAAATTTCTTAAAAAGCTGTATTCACATACATAAATTTTCACTGAATCAGTGAATGGGTATGAACCTACTTTGTTTCTTCTAAGCCTGAAAAACTGTTTAATTGTTTAATGAGAAATTGTGAAGAAAAACATGTGAAACTATTTTTAAAATATAAACCCCACGTATCCAGAAAACTTCATTTAATCAATTTGAACACAAATAAATAAAATGTCTTCCAAAAGAATATTAGGAAAGTTTAACAAAGTATAAAAAATATTTCTATTGTGTGAAAACTTACAAGTTTATATTAATCAACTAAGGCAGGCCAGAATATCAACTTTTTAAAAAACAGAACTTTCATTTAAAACAATCTATTTAGCCAATGTTGCCTCAAAGTACTATCTAAAAATCTGAAATTCATAAATCAGTCTCTAACAGACCCACATGGTTGATTATGTTTTAATTCACCTTGAATTTTCCAGTTTATTTCTAACAGTACCAGCTGGACGCAAGCATTCTCTACTCCTGGTTTTTGCAATGATACAATAGTAAAACATGAATATGTTTAATTCCTCAAACTTCCTAATTTGATTCTCTTTTTCACGACCTTTCTCTCCCAGAACCAGGAATTCCCACTGTCTACTTCACTAGTCACTATTACTAAGTGCCCAGCAGCATACACCACTAATCTGGCAAGCTCTAGCAATGTTGTTACCTTCTCATTTCTGTCTTTAGTTTTCCTTTTCACTTGTGCTGTCCCTTTGCCTAAGGTAAACAATACACAGTTCTCAGAGAGATGTTCATCTTTTACTTGATTTCTTGTTCAGATGTAGCCCTTTTCTTGGCTTGGTGAAAGTAACTACTTTATTATGACTACATGTTTAAATTTTTTTTACTAAGAAGAATATATGCAGTGTATTATTTGTTGAAAAATAAAAAAAAATAAAATAAATTTTTTTTGAAGAGGCAATGATAGAATTGCATCAGGAAAACCTGGACACTAAAAAACCTAAAAGCTACATTTAAAAAGGTGAATAAAAATCTTCTTAAAATTAAACTACTCTTCAGTGTTTCTGGTATCCAAAAAAAGTATTTTGTGAGCTGCCAAAAAAAGGGCAAAAATGATAAAATAAAAAGAAGAAACAACCAAAACAACAACAAAAATCATGGTATGTCTGAACAAAACAGAACAAAACAAAATGAAATTTGGTTCTAGCAAAAAATAAGGAACGCTGAGGATCACCTGGATACTGATGAAATCAAGTCAAGAGGCTGGCTTACAAGACATGGTAAGATCAGTTCTTCAATAGACCATAAGAGCTGGTCATAAAATTAAATTCTGACAGACCAATCTGGATACAGATAAAGAGGTCAGGAGTAAGGATTAGATCTGGGAAGCACAAAATGATAAAGGTTATTTAATGAAGGAAAGAAGATTGTACAAGGTCTCTTACAAGCTCTTCCGATAGCCCAAAGCTTGAAGCAACTTTTAATTCAGAAGATAAAACATCAGAGTAAAATGTAGAAGAATAGCACTAAGTAGGAAGAATAATTTAGCCAGGGTGGAAAGATGGGATGTTCAGTCACACAACCCACATCTGCCTGATCCAAAACCTATTATGGCCAGCAACCATTCATCATATAACCAATATATCTTATCCTCAAATTCTCACAATCACACTGGGCACAGGGACATATAAATACAGTTCCAGGTACTTGGGAGCTGAGTGGGTAGATTGCTTGAGCGCAGGAGTTTGGGGCTTGCCTGGGCAATATAGCAAGACCCTGTCTATTAAAAAACAAACAAGGCCTGGGCTATAGCTCAGTGGTAGAGTGCTTGGCCAGCATGCGCAAGGTCTTGAGTTCAATCCCCAACTAACACAAAAAAAAGAAAAGCAGAAAACAAGCCAGTCATGGTGGCAAATGTTTATAATCCCAGCATTCAAGAAGCTAAGACAGGAGGATGCTACACGTTTGAGGCCAACTGAGGCTACATAGTGAGACCCTGTCTCAACAAAATAAAACAAAAACAAAATACAAAACAGAACATAAAACAAAATGAACAAAAACTCTTAATAATCATCTTTCTATATCTCAAAACTTCTAAGAAAAAAATAAATAAACAAAAAATAAAGTTGGCCCTGGAGATGGCTCAGTGCAATAATTGTTTCCCTGGCAAGTGCAAGGGGCTGAGTTCAATCCCGGGTTCCGCAAAAGAAAAAAAAAAAAAAAAAAAAAACCTTCTAAGAACAATTCACAACTTTATTGTCTTATATAAAACACATGAAAGTGAAAAATTAGTACTTGTGCAAATAATACTTTGACTAGTGTGTCAACCCTAGCTTCTAAAAAAAGTCATGAGAGAAGTCCAGAATTGGAATTTTCGGCTAAAATTTGCAATACACACAACTTTGGTTTTCACAGACTCTATGATGAATATTTTCATGAATTACCTAAGAATAAGTCAGTTCTTAGAGAAGTGTTTAAAGAGCTGTGTCTTTCAGAATCTCATGGTCCTCAGTTGAAAGAACAAGTAACAATTTCACTACAGGTAATGTTCAGTGGCTAGTCACTTGATCAAAACTGACACAACTGAATCACCAGCAGCTCTTCCTCTATTCATTCCAGCTAGCACCGAACTCCCTTTTGTATCCTGGATCTATCAATGAGAAGCAACCTCTAAGCTAATATCTTCAATAATTTTCTTTTTCTTCTCACACAACATAAACTAAGGAGTTGTGTCATTAGAAAGACATGGCACCAGGAACAGGATAGAATGAGAATACAAAAGTGTTAAACAGAAGTAGTGAAAGAGGAGAGCCTCAGCTCTTGAGGACTACTTAAAACTGTCATTTCTCACAAAATGAGACCTGCTTACATTTACATTTAAGGACAACAAAAAATGAACTCTAGGAATATGTACTTTGAAAGTATTCAAAATAGCTTCCTAATCATATAACTAACTGGAATCTGTTCTAACAAAACTAAAACTATATTTTTAAACCAGAAATGAAATTCTTTTCAAGTACATAATTGTCCATCACTAGGTTCTTAAGACATGTTTTTATTCTGCAAAATCTTCTAAATTCATTATTTCCAGAAATTAAACAGAGGACATTTATTTTGTACTTGGCCATTTGGGTGTTTCTGCTTTATCCAACAAATATTCTAATAAAAAAACTATTTCTGAATTTCATTTCTGACTTCACTTAAATGATACTTAAATAAAAACGTAGGTTTTATACCATACCTATCCTTGATCTGTCTGGCAGCCTTGGAGAAATTCAGGGAGAAGAGAAAGAAGGTAGTTAGTGCTTTTCATGCAAGTTTCAATGGCAGTGACATGCAAGAAAAGTTAGAATATAAACCTTGCAAAAGGTTAGATCATATTCATCAAAATATAAATTACAGGAAATGTGTACAGTTCACATGAACTTGCATAATGTGATGTTAGAACTATAGAAATCCAGACCACATACAATCATTTTTTGAAAGAAGGAAAATTTAACATTTCAAACTAATTCCAGGTTATTATAAATGTTTTTCCTTACCTTAAGATTATAAAAACATACTTCTATTTTCATTCTAACATTCTTCAGCTAGATCAATCTGTTTAATAGGACACAAATTTCTATCTATATGTGTATCCTGATGGTTTCTTGTACATCCCAAGTCTAGAATTCTTCTTCAAAGATTTCTTTCCCTACGTAATGATTTTTTCCAGGTATTTTCTTCATAGCCTTCATTGGCTAGGGAATTTAGATTCTGAGAGCTTTCCTGCTGACATAGAACTGCAGGTCCACAATTCTACTCCAGTAAATGAAGCTGCAATGGCACAAATTCAGACAGAGGCCAGAGCAATACAGTTCTTCTAGCAGTGGCGCCTAGCCTGTTACACACAAAGATTTTTATCTCTTCCTCAAATGCAAGTGCAAGTTTAGGAAAAGGATAAAGAATCACTTGAAGCTGCACAGTCAAACAAAACAATGGAAACATATCCAAAATATATTGCTCTTTTTTATATGCCCTGCTAAGTTTCCACCCATACAAACAGCATACTTAATAACAAATCTAATGTGGAACATGGCTATTTTACCAAACATCCATCCCTAGTTCCTAACCTAGCAAGACATGCAGTACATAGCTATACTTAATAATTATTAAATTTAATTGGATGTTAATTACTTGTATATAACACAGCTTCTCCTTTCTCATTCAGTTTTTTTTAATTTTAATAATTTTATTGAGAAACAAATAGCAATGAGACAATTTTAAAATTAATCAGTAGGACAGTTTCAATAATAAATACATTGCACATTGTTGTCTCAGTGGTTATTCATTGTCTCATTCAGTTTTAACATTGTGCATTTTTTTTTGTGGACCCAGGGATTGAACTCAGGCCCTTGTGCTTGCCAGGGAAGCGCTTATTCCACTGAGCCATCTCCCCGGCCCCTGTGCATTTTATTGATGATGTTTATACCGATCCTAAAACATTTTTGTCTAAGTACCATTTTATACAGCACAATTGAGATTTATAAAATCAGTGCATTATACCATTCCAGCATGATCACTAATCAACTTTGTGACCTTATATGCAAATCATCTTCTTTTCTACTGTATTAGTTAACGTTTCTGAAAACCCTTGCCAAGGTCCACATTCTACACCAAACCACCCAATTCTGCGGCATCTATACTGTATATGACTTAAGTCACAAAATGAGTTTGAAACCAATGATTTAAAAAATGGGAAGAAAACTGATTATATAAATTTTTAAAACTATCTTAGGTGGAATTACAAAACAAAGACTGTAATGTGTTAAGGGAGAGAAAGAGCAGATTTTTCTCTGTGCCTGAGAAAGCTAGCATGACTTTCATACCATCTCCATTCTTTCGTTTCTCCTTGGTAAGTGATATGACTTATCTGATTACGAGTTTGCAAGGAGAAAATAAAAATGAACAGCTCAGTGTCAGAACACTGTTTTTTCTGACAGTCTGCTTGCCCACAGAGAATTCATGTCTTTTTTTTTCCTGTGACCTGAGGAAGCCCTCTGCTGACCAAATCCAGGTGAGAAAGGCTGACTAATGTTGAATCCATTATTAAGAAGCTTGTCCACTGATACAACTAACATTCTCCAGTATTATTTTATCAGGTACTTGAATTGCTATTCACATTACTTTTTTTTTTTTTTTTTTTTTTTTTTTTT